TGCAAAGAAAATGTCACTCTGCGAATTTAAAAGCTTCTCTGAAACTTCTTCTCTCTCTTCTTCTTCCTTCTGGCGTGGCGTTGATGAGTTTCTTTCTCTTTCCTTATTTTTTTTTGAATTAATTGTTGTGTTATTTTACGGATTTGCCCCTGATTCGTTCGTCTATCTACCAATTAAATCTTTCGAAGGTGGGGTCCATCTAAACGGAGTCAATTAGTTCTCAGGTTTTTTCTCTTTTTTTAAAAAAAAATTATTTTGTTGTTGCATGAGAGATCTTAAATGCAAAATCAGAATCTTCTCCAACTTGTTTTCATCTTTATTGTAAATATTTGGACTTATTTATTTACTATTTTACATACTTTTAAGTTTCAGATTTTATTTACATTTACTCATTCTATTCCTCTGAGTAGAAATACCTTTTTTTTTTACGGCAAGTAAAAATACTATTATTTTTTAACATACATTTATTTTTGTAAAAAATAAAAAAGTAGTTTTTTAAACAAAATCGAATAATAAAATATATTTGATCATAAGAAGATAGTTAAATTTTGTCTTTTATCCGATTATGAAATTGTATTAAAGTCGATAAGAACTAAAGATGGTAGAAAACTTTCGACAATTGTGTTTGTAGGAAATGTTGATGTTTTTAGTCTCGTAGAGAAGAACGATATACTTGTTGATATTTGGTTGGACCTTGAAAACAGAACAGTTCCTTTTGGATTTTTCTCAGACGAGGTATTTCTTCGTTTTTTGAAAATTACCTCGGGCTAGTAAATGTGATTGCGGTGGTAGGCTATTTGAACTCCTTTGTTCCATCTAGTCTTGACCCGAAGATCAAAGTCAAGATTGTGCGAAAGTTCAACAAACCGCCAGATTCTCGCAAAGATCAAGCTGCTGATGTACTCATCGACCGTGAAGTTGAAAAATGGCTTGTCAAAATGGATTTTATCGAGCCAGTAAATTTGTAAGAGTTTTTACGTTAATGTAATTTATTGAAGTATTGAAAACTGATACAACAGTCTAAACCTATGTGCGCCACTGTTGCACATCGGTGGTGAAAACATGGATTTGCTAATGTATATTGGTGGTAGATTAACGCATAATCATCGATAAACTACATCATTATCAAAAGAATTAACCTGACTGAAACATTTTCACTAACCACTCGAGTAACTGTGGAGTCCCTGTTTCTAAACAAATCTCGTACAAGCTAAAAATGATTTAACCGAAATATATGGTCCTTCGGTATATCGTAGTTGCTCGTTTAAAAGCCAGTAAATATTATTTTTACGACAATGGAAAAATAGGCCAATCCTTTAACCACAATCGGTAATAAACATCCTAAAAGGATTCAAGACACATATGTGATTGATTCATATGTAGATGAACTTATTTATCTTGTTTTTTTTCCATTAGTATATAGTTAACTAATATATAACTTTATCAAGCATATGAGTAGGGTTTGGTGTCACACCGAAAACTTGTACACCAAGTCAAAGTAGAAGTATGTAGAAACACCCAGCCACGATTCTTCACTAGGAGTTCCGCAGAGTTTGTAAATTTTCTCGATCTGATCATGCTTGTTCTCCCCGAGCAAGATTCTTCTTCCTTGATTTAAGAGTTGACCAAATATGCAACCCGCATACCATATGTCGATCTCGGGAGCATAATTGGTTGATCCAAGTAAAATCTCCGGAGCCCTAAAATGATGATATAGTATGTTTAGTATTTTAGATTCATTTAATCTAATGAATTGAATTAATTGAAAATGTAAATTCAGTTAATCTAATAAATGTAAATTCTAAATTTTATTTTACACAAAATCTACCACATTTTTTTAAAGTGATATTACTTCAAAATATTTTATTATAATTTCTATATTATTCTGAAATAATTGAACGTATTATCTGGTTATTCACATGCATAAAATGACTAGTCTAGAAATTAGGTTAATTGGTTAATCACATGTACTACACACTTAAGACTCTTCGTTATATAAAAAAAAATTCTTACTTACGAAAAAATTTATCGTATACTTCTTTTGTTCATATCCTTTTACTAATCACATCGATACATTTCAGATGCTTTCGGAGTAAATCCTAATAATTTTTTTTTTATCATAATCGTATTTTCTTTTTATCATAATCGAATTTTAACAGAATGAAAGTTAATTAAACAAGTGGATGATGACCAAATGGTCTTGAGTGTAAATGTTCAATGCACTAGTTCAATTTTATTTGCAAAAACTAATTTATGTTTTAAATGTGGTGTTATCAACGGTTGGCTTTGAAAACTAAACACCATTATAAGAGCCATAATTAATGTATATGAGTTAATTAATGTCATAGATTGCATGAAAATCTACTCTTCAGTCTTAAAGCATGCTTTTCGATATCTATAATTTTGGTTAAATATCTCAGTCTCTCTTTATAGTAAAAAGAGCCATAATTAAATAGTTGAAATTCGCAACCATAAATATCATTCGGCTGCGGGAATGTGTTTGGGACAGACTGGAAGTGTAGAGATAGAGTTCAATTCCTCAAAGATCGGACAAAAGAAGTGACCAAGGCACATGTGATGTTGCAAGATCAGTCACGGCGGGCCGGGAGAGAGGAAAGAATGATTAGATGGTTACCGCCAGGGGAAAGCTGGATTAAGTTGAACACGGACGGCGCTTCCCGTGGCAACCCCAGCTTGGCGACAGCGGGAGGTGTATTGCGAGACGGAGATGGGAGTTGGCGTGGTGGTTTTGCTCTGAATATAGGTGTATGCTCAGCCCCGTTGGCGGAGTTATGGGGCGTGTACTATGGTCTCTATATAGCTTGGGAGAAGCGGATTACACGGGTTGAGTTGGAGGTGGACTCGGAGATTGTGGTGGGATTTCTCAAGACAGGGATTAATGATTCTCATCCTTTGTCATTCCTAGTGCGTTTGTGCTATGGCTTTCTGTCGCGTGACTGAATAGTCCGCGTTTCTCACGTGTATAGGGAGGCTAACCGTCTCGCGGACGGGTTAGCTAACTATGCGTTTTCTCTTCCTTTAGGTTTTCATATGCTTGAGTCTAAACCGGATGTGGTGGACTCTATTGTTTATGACGATGCGATCGGGTGCATGCGCCCACGTTATGTTCGTGTGTAATTTTCTTTTAGTTATGTTTCAATAAATTGTAGGGGGACTCCATCCTACCAAAAAAAAAAATATCATTCGGCATGCATATGGTTTTTCTGTCTTTTGTGTGGGAGCACGTGTTATCTTCCTTAATTGTGATAAGCGATACGATAAATTTATCTACCAGAAAACATAACAAGAATAAAGAATGCATTTAATGTTGTCCCAAAACCTCTCAGGGAGAAAGAGATTGCGTTTGTTTTCTTGTTTTGGTAATTTAAAATAGAGAGTAGTTTGAGTAAAACATGATTATGAATATTGTAAATCCTTTTTTTTTTTTTGTGAACAAACAATTAAGTCTACAAAGTTTTTCTTAAACAATTACGAAGAAGTAGAATCAAACTCTTATGCTCAACTTTTTGACAAAAAAAAAAAACTCTCATCCTCAATAACATGCAGATAATACAATGCCATTTCACATAGAAAAAATTTGTAAATTCTTCTTAAATAAATAAGAATCGATTTTTGGCAGATTAGAGCATTTGTTTAAAATCTTGAACAAAATTTTTTTTTAAAAAAAAAATTGATTTAATATCGTGCACCATACAAACTCAAAAACCAATTACACAATTTGTACCATTTTAGAAATTTCAAATTCTAAATTTACCTCATTTGATCCATGTGGACAATAAAAAGTCTTCATGAGTTTTTTTTTTTGGAATCATAGATATCCTCATCACAACAAATTTACCACATATGCAAGATTTCGGTAGGTTTTTTTCTCTTTACCATTCTTGCAATAAATTTTATTCAAAATCGAGTAACAAACAATTTAGAGAGATGCATGAAAAACTAAAATCGAACATATATCTACTATAGATCTTTGACAGCGAAGATGGAGCTCACGAATCACGGTCAATAGATTCCTTTCGATGACATGAAGAATTGAACCCTTAAATCGCTGGTTATATATTTTCTTAAATTCTGTTGAGCTAAACGGTGTTATTTAGTGTGTTTGATGTTGTTTGGTTTGTTGAATAAAAACGTTTTAGACCAACTCAACACATATTAACATATTGACTTAATACGGCATTTATGTCAATACAATTTTGCTTGATTTTATTAGTTTATATAGGTACCAGCTTCTATATTGTAGTCGTAAGGTTTAGTAACTTTAGTTAGCTACTCTTAATTAATTAATTTCTTCACGTTGGCAATAGTTTGTGAAAGAATAGACCATTTTCCCTCGTGTAATACATTTCAAACATTATTAACAAACGAAAAGCATATTTTAACATTAAACTTTCACGTGAATTGTAAGAAACAAATAAAGAGTGAAGAACAATGCGTAGGGTGAAATAGACTAACAACTTCGGCCATACGACGAAGCAAACTTGAGCAGACAATTTCATAATCAGTTTCTCTTTAAACTTTCATCAGCCTTATTTATAAATATGTATAATAAAAAAATATAATATTAGGGAAGCATAAAAACTTTTTATTCCAGCCCGTCGGTCCTTTTTGCGGCCACCGACTGTTTTTGCATTGAAAAGATTCCAACAAATGTTTTCTTTTAGAGGGAATAGATGCTTCCAATCTTCATATTTTATCGAAAACCACTAAGTAAGAAGTGAGTTTTAATTCTTTTTTTTTATTGGTACAACTAAATGGAATCTGAGCCACATGACCTTGTAATTTATCTACAATGTTTCGTGAATACAAAATTACAACAAATTCGATTCTCTTGGAGTGAAAGTGTTTTGAGTAACAACAACTAAAAAGACTACAAAACATATAATATGGTTTATGTAGCTAATATTTTTAGTTAGCAGCATAAACTATACTACATTATGCCCAAAACTATTCAACACAACAAACAAAGTGCTGTCATATTTGGTTTGGCAAACGAAGATCAATGAAATTTTATACTCAAAATGTGAAATTTGGTTTGCATTGCATCAAACAAGAAGCATAGTCAAAAATATCAAATCCAATGAAAAAGAATGGAATTACACTTCTACGGTATTTGTGACTCGGTATCTTTGGCAGGTCCCATGTAAACTGTATAGCTTACCGATATGAGAATGAGCAAACACCCAACAAGCCGGCTAAACAAACCTGGCGATCCTGCTTTTCCCGTGCTGACTATCCATAACTGCGATAACACCACCTAATAGGACAAAGACACAAATTAAAACAAAGTCTTTCTGCTTCATCACTATGCTCAAATCCTGTTCAACCCGTCTTTTATCTGAAGCAAACCCAAACCAAAAAATCAATGAAAGAAATGAACCTACTAAACAATATAGACTGATTTTATTGTATATCCAAACCGTAAAAAGGAAGTAAACCGATAAAATTAACTTGATTTCTTTGAACTGAAAACCAGGCTGAGGCCCCTATATACCCTTAACCTGTCTTCCATGGAAGTGGAAGTCTACCTCGATGTACAATATGTTTGCAGCTTTGCTGATTTTCTCAAGCTGAAGACCACGTGCCAAAAGTACCTTAAGAATGGAAAAATATTCTCAGCGGTCTAACTATGCGAGTTGCCTACACAAATGTGCAGAAACAGAACTTCATTAAATGCCTCACCTCTGCGCAGAACGCCAGCAACCCTAGCACAATCATGGTTATAAGCGTGTCAAAAGCTGGCAGCACGAAGCTCTGTATGAGAAAATTCAAGGTTATGGATCATGAGTCTGAGTAATGATCAAACAACAGATCAGTGACTGCATTCTACATTGGTGTAGATGAATATACACAAAGCATACCTCGAAGGAAAACATGCAAATTGCTGCAGCGGGGCAAGCTACCAAACCAAACGAGAAGACAGTAATCCTGTGAAAATGCACATCATTTTTTTCTTCTTCGTAACAACAGAATTTTCGCTAAAGAAGTAAGACATGTGGGTTGATGACACATCTGAATTTTAAATCTCACACTGGCTGTTCCGATGCTTTAGCAGCTGCCTTTATGAGACAATAGGTGATTCCTCCAGTGATTGATGAAAATAAACCCAACCAGAATGCATAAATATGATGGTTTCCTTTAAGATTTTCATTCGTTCCTTCTGATCCAACTGCCAAGAAAAGATGAATGAATCAACATGACATCTTCGTTTCCTCATGCATAAAGGACAGTCAGGAGAAGTTTTATTAAGAGAATAAATAGAGAACTATTTTGTTAACTCACTTCTGTACCTTGGACAGTAAGTGTTGGGCCAAAAATAAAAAGCACGCCAAAGAAACTGCAAGCAAGACCTGGACCAAAGCGCAAAAAACAAATAATCATATATGGACTTGCTTTGTTGTCAGTTCACAATGCATATCAGAGAGTTCAAGCTAGGGGAAAAAGTTCTGTACCTCCGATATCAGTTATTTTCAACTTCTCATGCATAACAACACGTGCTGCAATGGAAGCCATAATTGGATTCAAGAAGCTTAGTACAATAGCTTGGGACAACGGTAACATTTGAATGCTGTGGTTCACAATGTCAATAACAGTGAAATACAGTGTTAGAAGTCTTATTTTGCAACCAATGACAAATTGATTTGTGGGGAATGGACACTGTTTCTAATAACAATTTCAGTTCATTGATATATTGGTTTTCAATAAATTTAACAAATTAATTGCTTCCTAAGAAGCTACTGAAAGTAGGTTATCCGTACACATGGAGCAGAGTGTGAGAAGTAAATACCTAAAGATGAAACTAAACAATGAAAGGTAACCCACAAGGGCTCTTGAAACCAAAAGCTTCCTGGCATGCGCAGGTCCAAATATTGGTTGTCCAATTCTTTTCAACCAAAGGTATGACAGTATCAAGATAATTGTGCATCTCATGAACGCGGTCTCAAACAAAGGAATCGGCTGAACTGTCATAAACATCGCAAATTAGAAGGAAAAAAAATATATCAATACACTAGATAATAGACATGCCAGCTCAAGGCAAGACTACAATGCTGAAGGAAGACGTGGATTAAGGTTAGCACTTGCACTAATCTATAGAGAGATTCCATGACAACTAGAAAAGACAAGTTCTTAAATAAGTCCACTGTTTCAGAAACTAAAAATCCAACATAGATTCTCCCACCATGTGAATAAAGGACAAAGCACAAATAATTTCAACATTTCTAGTATCCCCATAAAGCTACTTATCATCTTTTAAGCACAAGGACAAAATCACAAGATACCATAGGAGAGCTAATGAAGTACTGACCAGAAAAAGTATCTGAAACTAACTCCATGATGAGATACAGTGTCGATGACAACACCATACACAGTAAGCCAGAGTAACGAGAACCACTCCAAATCCATGAAGAAAACTGAGTTACAGGTGATATCTCAGTTTCTGTTACTTTAATCACTTGCTCCTACACACATTACATACATCACAATTCAAAATCAAATCCAAATCATTCATACTAAAATCTGATCTCAGTTCCTATCAATAACCTAATTCTACAAATCTAGCAACATAATTAGCAGAAATTGAAGCCCCTAGCAATCGCATCATACTCGCGAATTATCGAATTTCACTCGATTATTAACATACTATAGACAATTAGCAGCGATTAAAGCCATTACCTAAACCGATTAACACAATCACTATTCCAGTCGCAAACAATTTCGAATTGAATCATACTCACGAATTATCGAAATTCAGCTGAAATGTTCATGAATCATAGCCATTGAAACCAGAGGAGTTGTTCTTACTCTTGGTTTGTGTCGAGTGTAGGAAGCGGAGAAGATGTTGATTCTAGGTCTTTGGTTTTGATTCAGGAGAGGGATGATTTCGTCGGAAGATGATTCAGGGGCGGAGGAGGCGTCTTCTAACGCCGGAGATTCTAGATCGCGAACGGTAAGCTCAAGGGCGAGGTGTTCGTCGGTGATTCTGGTCTCCGGAGACGAAGAAGCCATAGCTACGAAAACCGCTTCTAACAGACAAAACGGAAAGATAACGAAGAGTCAAAAGAGGACGCTTCAAATGGATTGTTTTGACTTTTGCCGTTTAACGCGACGTTAACGGACTCTTCAATTTGGGTAAATAATATTAGGCTGGATTATTAACATGAATTAATTGTGGACCTATACTTAAGTTCAAAATGTTACCAATCATGGTTTATTTTGATTTTATGAAAATTTGAAGTTGAGTTATTTTTGGAACTTCTGAGAAATACTGTTTTATAATACCTATTTTAAAAAATGTTTCTATCAAAAATATCATTTTTATAGAAAAAACATTAAAATCTTTATAAATGTTTTAAAATAAGTTTGAAAATTAAGAATTGGAGTTTATAATTATCTACAACTACAATATAGAAGCTGGTACCTATATGAACTAATAAAATCAAGCAAAATTGTATTGACCTAAATGCCGTAATTAAGTCAATATGTTAATATGTGTTGAGTTGTTGACTAAATGCTAATTAGAACAATTATCGAAAGACGTTGGTCTAAAACTTTTTTATTCAACAAACCAAACAACATCGTATTGGTCATGGTTTTTTATCAAACATACTAAATAACATCGTTTGGTTCAACAGAATTTAAGAAAATATATAACTGGCGATTTAAGGGTTCAATTCTTCATATCACTCAGAGGAATCTATTGATCGTGATTCGTGAGCTCCATCTTTTTTGCCATTCATATCATTGAGAGGAATCTATAGTAGATATATGTTCGATTTTAGTTTTTCGTGCATCTCTCTAAATTGTTTGTTACTCGATTTGGAGTAAATTTTATTGCAAAAATGGTAAAGAGAAAAAGACCTACCGAAATCTTGCATATGTGGAAAATTTGTTATGATGAGGATATCTATGATTCCGAAAAACAACTCATGAAGACTTTTTTTTGTCCATATGGATCAAATGAGGTAAATTTAGAATTTGCAATTTCTAAAATAGTACAAAGTGTGTATTGGTTTTTGAGTTTGTATGCTGCAAGATTTACATCGAATTTTACAAAAAATATTTTCTTTTTTTTTTGTGTTAAAGATTTTAAACAAATGCTCTAATCTGCCAAATATCGATTATTATTTATTTAAGAAGAATTTACAAATTTTTTCTATGTGAAGTGGCATTGTATTATCTGCATCTTATTGAGCATGAGAGTTTTTTTTTTTTTTTTGTTGTCAAAAAATTTAGCATGAAAGTTTGATTCTACATCTTCGTAATTGTTTAAGAAAAACTTTGTAGACTTAATTGTTTGTTCACAATTAAAAAAAAAGGATACCAATGCCACTTCACATACTACCATGTAGTATTCACAATGGTAATCTTTATCAATGTCTGGTCAACAATAAATTTCGATTTTTATAAAAGTTGTTTTTTGTCAATATTTTCTTATATCCATCTATGTCAATATCAAGGTAGATATAAGTCAATATTGACAAAAAAATATTTTAAGAAAATAAAAAAATTTTATTTTAAAATTTCAGGTTTACCACATAAAAAACTAAAATATAACCTTTTCTAATTAGACAATTAACAATTGATTAAATTTAGAAAAAAAAATAATCATAAAAGCTAATATTTTTTTAAAAAGATATGCTACTAGGCATTAATGACATCAAGGTTCTTTTTTGACACCAACATTAACCCAATCCAGGAGTTTAAGGAAATGTTAGATTGCTATCAATACGTCATCTACTAACTCATTGATATAAATACAGATTCTAATACTCCTTCTAAAATACTTAATGAATGCAGGATGGGAATGAAAATCGGAGAAGCTTTTGCACTACCAGATAGATCGGCTGGAATACTAAAAAAAGAATTGGTGTACAACAATCAGCATAACAAATTTATATATAAAGCAGATGAATAGGTATCCCAAATATTTCAAAAAGTTTGCTACAACAATTAACTACTCTAATTAAAGTCTAATGTTCAACTTCTCTTTTCAAAAGACACAGGATGCAGATTTCCTTTGCACTACTAAAGTGTTATGCGTACTTCAAAATCGATTTGTGGTTCCTCACAATCTACATATTCAGACCAAGTACAAAGCTCATATCAACATAGAATGGTGTAACAAATCAAGCACAATCAAGAACCTCTTCAAATACATTTCAAAAGGAATGGATAGAGCAACTTCTGTAATCAAAAAAGGAAATGGTGTGAATGGTCAAGGATCTGGAAATGGTGTCGAGGATAAACCAAGAAATGAGTTAAATTAGAACGGTATCGTTATCTACAAACATGGGAAGGAATGTGGAGAATATTAAAGTTTAATATTCACCACCAAACTGGGGTTTAGGAATACAAATTTATAATAATAAAATTGAGAAACAAATGCCTTAACTTTTTTATTAAACAGGTACAATTTCGTTAAAATTTTAACATACAGATTTAAACAAAAGTAAAGCATATTTAGATAGTTTCATAATAAAACAAGAAGCTTTGACAGGACTACATTGTGACATATAAATATAGTTTAACAAATACCAATTACAAGCACCAATACACCTATAAAATTAAACAAAAAATCAAAGAACAATACAAAGACCAAAACTTACCCGCGCGTTGCGCGGCTCTCATCCCTAGGTTCATCTACATCAATTTAAATGTTTATTTGTTGACTAGTAGACTCCATTATTAATTGTTACAATTAATTAATTGACGTTATACTACATCAATTAATTGTTTGTACATATTTTTAATTCTTTGTGCTAAATAATTAAGTTCATCTACATCTCAATCAATCACAGTCAAAGTCATCACATATGTGTCTTGGATCCTTTTAGAAGGTTTATTACCGCTCGTGGTTAAAGAATTACCTATTTTTTATTGTCGTGAAAATAATATTCGATGGCTTTTAAACGAGCAACTACGGGATACCGAAGGACCATATGTTCCGGTTAAGTCATTCTTAGCATGTACGAGATTTGTTTAGAAGCATGGACTGCACAATTATACTTGATGTGGTTAGTGAAAATGTTTCAGTCAGGTTATACAGTAGAACCTCCATAAATTAATACTCGATAAATTAATAAAAATAATAAAATATTATAGTCTCAACATTATTAATTTATAGAGGTTTGACTATATACTTAAGTTTAAAATGTTACCAATCATGGTTTATTTTGATTTTATGAAAATTTGAAGTTGAGTTATTTTTGGAATTTTTGAGAAATGCTTTTTTATAACATCTATTAAAAAAAAAGTTTCTATCAAAAATATCATTTATATAAAAAAATTTTAAAATCTTTATAAATCTTTTAAAATAGCTGTGAAAAATAAGAATTGGATTTTATAATTATCTACAAAAAAAAATTTAAAAGGTGTTTGTCTGGACAAATTTTCAAACCCTCAAAAATAGTTAAGCGAGGCATAACACTATGTTGTTTTATCTTGAAATCAAGGAGAGATCTAATTTTTTTTTTATTATTATTGTAGCTACAAGCGTTGTTCCATCATATCCGATCAGATGACCCCAACCAACATCTCGCTTGTACAGTTGCTATCAAGAATTTCCTTGATTCATATGATCCTCCATTGAACCAAGTTGTCACATCCCTGCGCTTAAGGTAATAATGCAGCATATTCTATAAGATTCGTGTGTTTTTGGTTAATTTGTATTTGACGACTTGCTTTTGTTTGTTTGTTTTTCAAGTTCGAAGCTGCTTTGGTTTTTTCGTGTTTTATGTACAATAGACGACATCCTCCTCATACCTATGTTGATCTAATACCCTACAAAGATAATCAAATTTAAGATAAAAACTAATCTTTCACGTCTGTTTCTATCTCAAACCAAGTATGCTGAACAGATTTTGAACAATGAAGGGATGCTCAAGAAAATTATTCGATCAGCTGTACGCGCGAATTAGGAGACAAGTTGTTGAAGAGGTTAGATAGTTTGGTAAATATAAGCAATTGACATAGGAGATACCATTTATTATGAAATTATTGACTCAGTTTTGCAGCTCAGAGCAAATAAGGCTAGGTACATTGTACATGTTGAAGATGATTACGACCAATTTGTGACGGATATGGCAATGTCTCTTAACTACATAATTTTTCAAAATAGGTGTAAAAAATACGAATTAGATTTTATAATTATCTATATTAAAAAAAAAAAATCTTAAAGTTGTATGTCTTCACAAATTTTCATACTCTCAAAAATAGCTTTTGGTTTCGAAAACATAATGATGATGTTAGAATGTGCAATACATTGAGGTTCGAATATCCTAATTTTTGGTGAGTATCATCTGGGATTAAAGGGTATAGTTCTAAATCTTCTCTCTAAAGGAAGTCATTGACTCGATTGGATTCATTTGGTTTATGCTTTGGATTCCAATCTAAATTATTTTTGAAATAACATATATATATTTTTTTTTTTTGGCAGCAATACCATAAATAAATATATATATATATATATAGAATTTTTTTTTTATTCAAGTAGTATTCTATTGATGTTATATGCTTAAAGCTTTTTATTATATAAATAGAAATACAATCAAATCAAGAATTACTATTTTAATTAGTTATGCTGGGTTTTATTACACTAAATTTTGATCTTGATTTCTTAAAATTGAAAAATACAAAAATAAATTAGCTTATTAATAAATTTGGATTTGATTATGGTTTAAACACTTCGCTTTGATTTTTTTTTTTTAATTTACTTTTGATTTTTTCCTACCTTTACTTGGCAAAGTTTGCAAGTTTACATAAGATTAGTAGAAAAACAAATTTGATTATTTGAGCAACAATCAACTTCATATAATAAAGGGAATACAAACAAAAACCTGAAGTTTAAGCTTAACCGTATACTAACTTTTCTCGCACAAATATAAAAAAAGAAACTAGAGCTCTATGTCCATTGTTTCTCTCCCTTTGTCTTCATCATTCCCACTGCTTGTCCAAAGCTTGATGGTGCGGTCATGCGAAACACTTGCGATACACGAGCTATCTAGAGCGATATCTAGAGATGAGACTTTGGACTCATGTCCTACTAAGCTTTTAACAAGCGAGAAATCTCTACCTGACCATATATTAACTTTCATGTCGTATGAGGCAGTAGCCAAGAAATACCCTTCTTGTGGTTCATACTTTACTTGAGAA